TCCGTGGGTCCCTCAACTAGGTCAGTTTCCCTTTATTCGACCGTTCATTCTAATCCTGAATTTCTCCTTTAAGTCAGAAATTCTTCGGTTCTTCAACAATTTCAATAGTAGCAGTAGTTTACACTTTCTTCGGGCGCTATCGCAAGGTACGGGGCATAACGGCGCAACCGCATCAAACATCTCGTTTTTGCTACAACCAAGACAAACCTGCCAAAAACGAGACAAGGTAAGGGGAGACTCCAGGATTTTTATGAAAATTTTACTTTCCCCACATTCCTTTCACTCTCATATGCTTAATTCAAAGAGCTGCCCTCGTATCTTGCGATAGCACCCTTTTTTCGGCTATTAGACGATTTGAAATTTCGAAAATGGTGAATGTTAATAAAGATATGCAGGGCAGTGAGAAATCAGTACATTTTCCATTATCATTATAATTATCCTTTGTTATTAACATGAGTCAGCGACAAACGAAGACGGCCTCGGGTGTAATTTCGCATCGTCCTAATATTCCAATGAAGGGACAGAACAAGCAAAACAAAGGAGTTGGCATCAGCCGAAACAGCCCATTTCCCAGAAGTTGGTCTATTTCACGGGGTACGTGGCGTTAAGCTACCACAGCTTCATTTTGTGAAGACTCCTTGGGGGAGGGGTTGTGCGACAGCAGTCGCTCAGCGGGTTTTATCCTGTGGCGCAACCTTCCAAACGATGGAAGAGTACTGCTCCCCCTACCTGCGCCTTTACCCCTCCGACAACATGAGCAGCGATTAGATTAGGAGAACATTGTGCTCTAGTAGTAGAGAGTCCCTACAGGATCATTGACAGGGAGGGTATTCAAGGGCAAGCCGTGCTTTCTCGAAACGGTTCTCTTGGCCCACAAAACCATGTTTCATTTTCGCTGAACGATTTTAGTAGTACCAAAAAGGGCACTATTTACCCTTTACTGCCCCACTCCTCGAGAACTGAGCCGGGTTTTTATCGAAATTTGTCCATGACTGTGGATTTGGCTAGAAACTTGCTTCAGGGGTAATTCGACCCGTAGAACACGAATATCACATTCGTTTACCGCTAGAACGCCTGGCGCTCGCGCCAGAAGCGCCGGCGCCAAAAGGCGCCAGAACATCTCGGATCACCAAATTCGCTGGAAACTTGTCTTCAGAGGTATTTTGACCCGTAGAACATGAATATCACATTAGTTCGTTGCGAGTGAGCCTGTAGCCTGCGCTACGGGCGCCGCGCAAAACTGTTGTGATAGCGCCGGCGCCAAGCGTTTTCGCGCTAAACCGGTGTGATATTCGTGTTCTACGGGTCGAATTACCCCCGAAAACAAGTTTCTAGCCAAATCCACAGTCATGGACGAATTTCGATCAAAATCCGGCTCAGTTCTTGAGGAGTGGGGCAGTAAAGGGTAAATAGTGCCCAAAAAAAGTAGTGGATCTTACTCTAAATGGTTGGATCCCCCGTGGGGAATAAATTTTGCATTCAAGGTTAGCGACTACTTTTGGCTACAATATAGACTTAGCCGTGAATATCACATGTGATTTTGGCATTTAGCACCATTCAGCAACAGCCGTAGGCCTAAAACCAAATGCAAAATTTAGTCGCCACGGGGGCGTAATAACCATGGCAGTATCCTTTGCACTTTTTTTAGGTATACTCCCAACTAGAAGAAAACCATGGTTTGTGCTCTCTACATAGTCTTCGCAAAATTGCAGAAACGTTTACTGGAAAAAGCATGGCTTACTCTGAAAGTTCTCCCTTGTATAAGAAGAATTCATCTTCTGACGCGAGCTTTTTCTTTACACGTTTCTGCGCCTGAGTTTCACCGTAGCTAAAACGCTATATTCTGATGTTACTGTCATAAAATGGTAAGTAAAAGGCCGAAATTAGGATGTATGTGAGCAGAAAAAGTTACATTGAAAAAGGTATACCGCCGTTTTGGATATCACTTTTGCTTTAATTGAACTGATCTCGAAAAATAAGCCGCTACATTGTTTATGTTCTAAACCAGCTACAAAATAACTTTTTATTGTTAGAAATTCTTTCAGTTTTTTTCAAAATTTTCCAATTTGGATATTGGGTTCTTTCCTATATTTTATTTTATCTTATTATTTTTTCCATAGCATCCTTGGCATGCATATAGCAATTAGTGCGTTGACATGACTCGTGTAAACAGTGGACAGCACGCTTTCACTTTTACCACTATCTCGACTCCCCTCGACCGCGCTTTTTTTCCAGCTACAGCTTTTCTCTGACATAATCTATGACAGACCAACACATGCTGGGGTTGTGTGAAAGTCACCAGTACTTAAAGGCGTCATTACGCACGATTATTTGAAACTATGAAATTCCTCAGTAGCGCGAAGAAAAAACTGCTCGCCGGGTTACTGGTTGGAGTCAACTCGCAGACTATCGTTGTGAGTTCTTGGGCTTGCCAAATGCCATTTGTTGATCGTTGACTGTCCTCACTTTGCTGCGACTGGGGTTGGCCATCTGTGTGCTGCGGCCTACGGTCTCCTTCTACGCCGTTTCGTTCTTTCAAACGTTGAGTGTCTTCTTTGCAGGCGCCCAAAGCTTTTTTGGCCATAGGATGGCCTGCAAAAAGTGGGCTTCACTGAGCCGTTCTCGCTGGCTTTCTTTTTCGGATGGCGGATTATTTTTCACCAACATATTTCATTTTTTGAACTCGCTATCGCCTAATGTTATCAGGAATGGCCTTTCAGCATGTTCCTTCGTTTGATTCCCACACAACACGGCTTTGTTCGGGTTCAGTTGTGGTCAATGCCATGAATATTCCTTGAATTTTAAGGAACGCAAGCAGTGTGATCTTCGTGATTCCACGACCTTGTTCTCTGCTTGTTCTCTGTGAAAGGACTTCATAGTGCAAAAGTCGGTGTTCACCTTAAAAAGTCGTACCATCATGTACTTCTTGGTCCCGCCCACTCTCCAACCAACCACCCTTTCCCTCACCGCTCCGCTTCCGGCTCCATTGCTGTGTGCCAGACCGAGCGGTGACCGTCACCGTATGCTTCCTAACACTTCTTCTGTCGCAATAAATCTGCCTTGATTTCTCAATGACCGTTTGGAGGGTGTTGATCAGACCAAAAGTAAAAGTATGATAAGAGCATTAAACAGAGTCCACCAAGCGATAGCATCGTAATCAATAAACATTTGCCTTCTTATCATCTTTTTTCCCCTGTCTGAATCAACAAATATCCGAGACATCCCCGATCGAAACCACAATTCGCGAAGTATGAACGAGCATTGAACCGAATGGCACGGATACATTCTGTTGGTATGTGAAGACGTTTCTGTACTGATTCTATTCTGATTCCATTCCAGCGCTTTGGTCCCCACGGCCGTAAAAAGGACTCAGAAATGGGCCAATTGCTCAGCACGACAAGCTGGACAAAGGTCAGTCCTTATTTGCTACCTCATAAAGGTTTTTGAAGACTATAAATTCTGATGTATATCCGATTTATGGCCAAAAAAGCCAGTTGGCGCTGAAGTTGGGAATGAAGGCTCAATGGGGCCTCCAGGGTCGAGTAGCCGACTGGGGCGTTTTGGCTACAAGGCTTCTTTCCAGGACAGCCGATCGGATGATTCAATAGTCGTTACGCCGATGCAGTCGAAGGTGGTAGGCAGGACGTATTTTGGATGCTGCTGTAGCCCAAGTAAGATCGTTCGACTAAAACAGAATCGATTTTATTGATTTTATCGATCTTGCTAATATTTCAGAACGAATGTATAAAGTATTCAAGTATGCTGTTGAAGAATGGGTATTCCTTGCCTTACTAGGTCTTATAATGGCTATGTTTTCGCTTGGAATGGACATAATGATCAGCAAACTCCAAGAGGGTAGGTTTTTCCTCAGTCATACGCTGCTGCCTTGTTGTCCTGACATCGTCATCCCTCTAAGTCTGGGCGTTCTCTGGCCTTTTCCCGCCGCTTACGTACGTCGCTTCGGTCGCTATGTGTTTCACATTAGCATAATCCTTGTTCGTCATTGATAAGCACTGGTCATTCTGTAGAGAAATCAGAATTTTGCATTTTCCCGACAATTTTTGGAGGGGCAACTCTAAGCTCCTGCGGACGAAAGTAGTAGAAGAATTAGCATGTCCCATTGCCAGGACTTGTGGGGCGACCAGAAGTACAAGTCAGCGCTAATGTCCCTGGGTGAAGATAGCCTAGTGGCACGTGGGCAGCCTGTCAGGCGCTCGATCCATGATCGAATCCCCTTGGACAAGCCAAGCTGTCTCTATCCCTATATTAGTGTCAAACTCACTCGGTAGGGTGAAAGCATTGATATGTACTTCGCCTGCCCCCGCGAGTCCCCAGTGTCCTGGCTGAAGATAGCCTAGTGGCACGTGGGCAGCCTGTCAGACGCACGATCCCATGTTCGATCATTAAAATACTTTTGCGATTTTGGATGGAAGTAGAATGCGTGGCGTGTCCCTAAAGCAATCGATCAATGGCTATTGCTCAGTCCTTCCATATAGCCAGGCTTTTGCAGGTCATATGGCGTTCTATCGCCATTTAAAAAGCGACCCGATCTGGATTATATCGTTCTTCGTCTGGACGCTGTATGTTGTCGTTCTCATCTGTGCATCAGCTCTCTGTGCCCATTATATAGCCCCACAAGCCATAGGTGAGTAATTCAGTAATTGAACCCACTGATTATCTTCTGAGTTCAGTAATGGCCTAGCGGAAAATAACGCATATGTAACCGATAGGGATATCCTCTGAACTGTACACCTCAGCTGGCCAATTTCGCGGTAATAGCATTGTTCATGGCGCCGTTGGGCCCTGTCGCGCATGGTTCGGGTAGTATATTTTTAGCCAGGTTTTATTGATTTGCTGTTGACCTTATCCTGTTGGTAGAAGCGCTTTATCAAAATTGTTTTCTGCTATCTTGCCTCCATTCTCTAGTTATTCAGAGAAAATAGTCTCTCCAAAAGGCTTAATTTCGTGTCTGTGAACAAGACTGATTGATTTGAAAGCAAGTTCATTTTTCTAACCTGCTAAAGTGAGCGCCTTGTTCCTTCCCGTTGAGATTGATTAAGCCTTCTCGTCCCTCTGTATTCTATTGTATAGCGCAACTACGTGTAAATCTAATAAGTACTAAGGAAACAACTAAATGTATGAATAATAAAATCATTCCCAAAACCATCTGGTTGTGGTAGAGAGTGCTTGAATTAATTCTCCATGCTGAATAAAATTTGTGTCAAAAGTTCTCTCTCCGCGACCGTGCTCGACAGTGGATACCGACGCTCACGTGTTGCTGTTCCGACAGCGAATGATTCACACGTGAAGGAACGTGCAGCATAGTGGTGCTTGTGCGAGGAATCGGGCTTCTTCACGCGAGGGAAAGTATAGGTTCATGTCGTTTGAAGTCATTCAATTTTTTGCAGGGGAAGGAAACCCTAGGGTGAGCGCATGTAAAAGGAGCAACAATGGCTCACGCAGCCCGGGGAATTTCTCCTTCTGCCGAAAATTGAAATTTCTATAAGCGCCAGCAACTGTCCACCAGGGTGAAAATCGCTTGAGGAAAAGACAACGGCTCGTCGAGGATTCTTTCACGCTCTCCACGCGGATGCTCACTCTCGCCACCGCGAGCCGTCTGTGCTCTCCGCGCATGCATTCACTCTCGACACTACTCTCGCACAGTAGAGAGCCATGGTCGAGGAAATTCCTCGACCGTTATTCACCCTGCTGTCCACCGTACACCTCTCCCCCTCCTTAAAGGAATCTTCCGCGGAAAAGCTCCGCCTCCATTACCACAGAAAAACGATACCCCTTAGGCCCCTAGCCTCATGAGCATAGCAAAAAGAACGGAACATAAGCGTTAGTTTCGATAATACTAATCCTACACACAAGACAAAATGATCACTCTTTCCTGGGAGAACTTCCTTAAAGCAACAGTTCAGGAACGGTTTCGCGGGAAAAAACCACCAATAATGAAGTTGTAGATGAAAACCAGACGATTAATGTATGAAAAACTGGAAAAAAACGTCGGGGAGGGTCTTAGACAGGTACTCTCCCTCTGCCGCTCAGCAATGGATAAAGACGCACGTTGGACGAGTTGTCTGAACGTGCCCGCTGTAAACGCGCTCCATTTTTCAATCAATTTTCCCTGTGGTCCCAAAACGAGCACGATTGCCGACGCGTCCAATGACGGCCGGCAAGGGGGCGGGATTGGGGAAATCCCCAAGAACACCCATGTTTGAGGGACTTTCCACCCTGTTTTTGAGTTTCTGAGGTAAGTTCGTTTATTATTTCCACTGCATATGTTCTTCACTAGGGCTCGTGTATCCCTCAGTAGTAGTGGCATTGAAATTTTCGGACCCTCCCTGAACTGTTGCTTTAAAAGGCGTTTTCTGTTGGATGAGGGGCGGAGCTTTTTCCGTGGAAGATTCCTTTAATGGATGTGACCCGAGAATCGTTCTTTCGTTGTTAAAAGGTGAATGAAAGAAAGCGGTTCCTTGGTAGTGTAACTGGTAGCACACTTGTTCGGTAAACGGGTTGGGGTCCTGTCTGAGGCGGAAAGGCTTGCCCATAACTCAGCACTCTTGTAGGACTTCCGCAACGCGAACTATGGCTGGTTGAAGTAACAGTTAACAAACAAATTTTTTTTCCAAAACTGTCGTACACATTTTTGGAGCAGAATCAGGTACCTTGACGTCAAAACCGGTGACTGCGGGTACCCAGGGTATTTTTAGAAGACATATTAGGCTTACTCAACAAGCCCGTGGTCTTACAGGGCGCAGAATGATACTAACAATAAGATGGTCAAAGAACCCATCCATAAGCTTGGTGTGGTCCTTGAGTGGCTTTCAATTCGTCTTCTCTTGCTTTCGTTGTTGAGCCACAGTTGCTCAGTATAAGGACACCTGAAAGGTACATCTCACGGTGCTTTAGGTGAAGCAAACCGTTTGGTAGGGTAGGGCTGTCCACAGAAGTTGCAGATTTTGCGCTTCTGCTGCTCAAAAGCGCTCGACAAGGTGCTGGAGTGTAACCGAGACCGCTTCAACCGCTCACATTTCTTTTTTCCCAGTATGCTGGCGTTTGCGCTCTCTCACCCGCTGTGCTCCCTCGCCTATCCTCTCCTCCTCCGCGCTTAGTTTATCTTCATCTCAGCACAGTCTGGATTTCATCAGAGAAAAACATTTTGATTTGAATGTTTTCAGTCGCTTACTCTCCATTTCTCTTTCTATCCGTTATAAAATGGCGTAGGCGGAAGTGGTATGTAAGTGGCAAGTAGCCGTCACCGCGATCGGTCGGGGAATCAAATCTGTCTCATTGAGCAGGGTGAATATCGCTTGAGGATTCCTCAACGGCACGTCGAGGATTCTCTGCCCGATCAGAGACGATCTCTCGCGCGGACATTCACACTCGCCATGCCGTGCCGTCTGTGCTCTCCGCGCGGATGTTCACTCTCGGCACTACTCTCGCATGGTAGAGAGCTATGGTCGAGGATTTCCTCGACCGTTATTCACCCTGGTCTGTGAGTCCACCGTGATAACAAGCGGTTTCCATCCTCCGGAGGATCGGTTAATGGGGGTGAAGGCGTGCGAGCCGCATCCCACAAAAATGGATAATAACAGGCAAATGCTTATGCTTTTATCGTTCATTCTTAATCTTTCTCCATGTTTGTAGCTTCTTGAATATGACTTAGATGTGCAGGGGTTTTCAAGGTGCTTAGGTGTGATATAGTCGTCATGTGTGGCGATAAGCTAAAGGAGCGTCAATGATACGTGAGAGCTGAGTCTTTCAGCTCAGGTCAAGTCGGTAGAAAACAACGGGGGCAGCGGGTTTTGTTCGGAGGCTATGAGTCGATACGCAAGTGCTATGAGTCCCATTTCATAGGCCCTTTTGATTCCCTTATTTGCATGCCTCAACTAATGCTCACCGCTGCGACAATGGTTCAGAAGCAAAAACAGATTCTCGAAGCTGTTCCGTAACTGCGTTTTTATTGCAGGCTCTGGAATACCTGAGATGAAGACCGTGTTGCGTGGAGTGATTCTCAAAGAATACCTAAGCGTACGAACTTTGATATCAAAATTATCGGTTACGGTCTTTAGGAAGTGGTCTACCGATCGGAAAAGAAGTGAGTTCAAGGCTTAATCACAAGTTATTTAAACTGGAAAGATGTTTTAGGGACCATTCGTGCACATTGCATCAGTGGTAGCGAATCAGTTGAATCGTTTCCTGACCAGGTCATGGCGGCTTAATGTTCAAATGAATCAGAGAGCGAACGAATTGCTTGGCAGCGGCTGTGCAGTCGGTGGATGGAATGCATTTACTTGCGCTGTCGGAGGTTAGTCATATCTTATTCATAGCAATAGTAGTTATTTCGGGGTGAAACGAGGTGCAGTTTTGGGTTTGGAATCTTGCCGCTTTTTGCAATTTTTTATTGCTCTGTTATATCAATTGAGCGCCAAATGCATGGCGTATCCTGAACGAAGTTTTTATTGAAAAAATCGCAACTTAGCGAGGTTTGATAGCATCTACAATTATACTATTTATTTTTTTTAGTCTTGAAGTGTGGTTTAAGTAGCGCTTAAAGGCGTTGGACACGTTGACCGGAGGGCGGAGCGCTTTTGATGGCGTCATTCTACGATTGGTGAACCAGACTCCAGCGCTAGAGGGTGTGCTTAACACCGGTCTCATTTTCCAATCGCCCACTCTCCATGCCCAGATGCGCAATGACGTCATGAGAAGCGCTCGGCCTCCTCGCAATTGTGTTCGCTGCCTTTAAGACCTTTAGCATGATGTTTAAGGTGTGCTGTTCTCGATCGAAGTCACAGCTGCGTACTTTGCCATCCGAAACTATTGGCGCGGATTCTTCGCCGCCACTTGCAGTGCCACTCTCTTTAGTGTGCTTCGAGGAATACGTAAAGGAGCTGGCAGCAATTCGTCCGCTTGGACTGATATATGTGAGCGAATTCGTTATTCAAAGCAATCAAACTTGCGAGTCACTTCTATGCATTCGATCGCACACCCGTCTCTGCTCTTATACCAGAACCCACAATTGCATTGGGCAATTTTTGGGGTCATGCGGTCTCCTTCCGAGAGGGTTTCTCACAGAAGCCCTTCATCATGACTGTTTTTTGGGATGTTGTGAATTGTTAAAGGCATGCCCCAGGATCACATTGGTGTGGCTCTTGCACACGAATGCGAATGTATTGGTGCGAAATGGGCCGGCAGTAAAGAAAAAAGGAAAAGAATCCGTCGAAAACGCTTAGGTTAAGGGCTCACTCACCTTCCTAATCGGCTGTGCTAAGGGAATGAGAGACTAAGCGCGGAGAGGAGAGTATGAGGCGAGAGAGCGCTACAGATGAGAGAGCGCCAGACAACAGCCTGATAAGAAGAAAAAATCTGCAGCTTCAGCAGCTTACTTTGCAAGGCCCAAGCGCTCTTGTCGGTTGGTTTCCGTGCACGGGAACGCCACATTTGTGATTGTCCTCTAGGGTTCTATACTACAGACCGAAGAGAAGCGTTCACACGACCTCTGCCTGGGTTGTGCCTTTAAGAAACTGTTTTTCATGCATTGCCATGGTCACTTTTCAGTGGAAATGTCAATGGAAGCTCACTATCAAACAAATTTTACAATAACCGACACTTACGCTTCTTCAGAGTTAATGGCTTTTGCATTGATGGGGTAAGTTTTGCATTTATAGTTTTTTTCTCCACAGCAATTCATACTGACTCACTGAGTTCCTGTCAAGGAATTCTACCTTGTTATCCGCGATCGAAATGGGAACATGTCATTCATTCTACAAGGTAAAGAATTCGAAGAGTGTGGTGTTGTGTTGTGGAAAGTGTTGTTTGGTGATTGGTACAAATGTTTAACACCTCTGACTACAGCGCGCGTTTCTTCGAGGACCGCCGCTAACGACTT